CAAAACCCTCATCATCCATGTTTCAATTAAACCTTAATTAAACATCTAACATGTCAATTCATCAATTAACAAACAAGATCACAACATTAATTCATCATAATCAATTAAATCCAACTTAACCTAACAATTAAACAATAAATTTATAACTTCTAAAACTTCAAAAATCATTCATCTAACATTGAAAACAACAACTTCTTATGGTGTCGTTGGGACTACACTTATCATGATTGATGCTAGATTAATTTCTACCTTAGAAGCTTAAAAACTCCTCCATTTCTTCCTCAAAAGTTTTGGCCAAGATCCCACTTTTTCCTTCTTCTTTATTTGGTTTCCCTAGGTGTTTTGAGATTGATTTTGAGATGTGTTTAATCGAAATTTAGTGTTTTTGCGTGGTTGTTTATCTTTATTCTCCTTGAATTTGGCTTGATTTTAAGTTGTTCTATTTGTTCTTCATTTCATCATCACCCGTCTCCTTCCTCCTTTGGCCGAATAAATGGAATGAAAATTCCTTAGGATTTTGCCAAGCAAGAGGACACTTGGTTTAATCCTTTGATTTCCTTCCTATGGTAAAATATATAGAATATTCATCATCTTTCTTTCTTGATTTTTCCTTAGATTTTTCTCTCCTCATTTTTCTTCATATAGCCGAATTAATTAGTTTCTCTTAATCCATTTTCTTTTCTCCTTTTTCGTATGAAAATCATCTACTCTACTTGAATTATTTAGTCCCTCAAATTTTAAAAATTTTACATTTTGATAACTAAACTTTATTAATTAATCCAATTAGGTCCTTGCATTTTAGTCCTTGAATTTTTATTTTTTTCACAATTAGGCCCTCAATATAGACTTTCCTAGATTTCATAGTGGCACTAAAAATTTTTAATTATTTTAATCAATTACCTAAATTTTTAATTTATTTCAAACACACACCTTTAAATAAATATTCACACATATATTAAATTATTCAAACGTAGATAATTATTTAAGGAGATTTTAGGTCAAGGGTATTACATATTATATCTAATAGGGATCCAAGATTCACATCGAACTTTTTAAAGAGATCGTATGATGTAATGGATACCGAGCTAAGTTATAATACTACTTTCCACCTCGGAGTGATGGGCATTCAAAAAGAGTTATGTAGGTATTAAAGGATATGTTGAGGGCTTATATACTTGAATGGTTGGGTAGATAAAAAAAATATTTTTTCCATTGGTGGGATTTTTCCGTAATAATAGTTACCAAATGAGTAATTGGAAGCCTCCTTATGAGGCACTCGTTTGAGATGAGGTGTAGATTGAAATGATGAGGGTGAGAGGAAGATAAGATTAAGAATCAAATTAGCTTAGAGTACACAAAAGAGTTATGTTGATCGGATAAGGAAGGATTTAAAGTCCGAGGTTGGTGACAATGTATACCAAGGAAAGGTGTAATAAGGTTCGAGAAGAAAGAGAAGCGAGTCTAGGTACATCGGGCCTTATGAGATTCTTGACGAGTGGGTGTTCAAGCATACGGATTGGCTCTCCCTCCATCTATCTCAAGAGATCATAACGTCTTTCTTGTATTGATGCTAAAGAAGTATGTGAATGAACCAAATCACATATTGATAGCAAAATCGATGGAGTTAACTTCATATTTGACCTATGAAGAAAGGCTAGTTGAAATTTTAGATCGAGAAACTAAGAAACTAAGGAACAAAGAGATTATCTTAGTCAATGTGTTGTGGAGAAATTATAATGTCACGGAAGCTACATAGGAAAGAGAAAAAGAGATGAGGACTAAGTATCCGAGACTTTTTGGTGAGTAAATTTCGAGGACAAAATTTTATATGGAGGGGAGGATTGTAACACCCAAAATTTTCTTCTTCATATTAAGCAAGGGAATGTTTTATGTGTGTGTGTGTGTACGTGCGCTAATTTCATTCTTCTTTTGTGCATGTGATTGATATATTTTTTTTAAATTTTTATATTATGTGAGGTGTTTTACATTAAATATGTTTGAAGATTTAGAAAAAAAATAAGGTAATTACGAGTTAGTTAAGCTTGATTAATTTTATTAAGTCGGTTAAATCATAGTAATTGAAAATGTGAGTTTAAAATAGAAGTGTAGAAGTGAATTTTAAGCATTTTTCAACTCATCACAATGACTTTCTTTGCTTGATTGTGTTATTATGTGTGAATATGATTATGTGTTTAAATATAGTGTCTTTTCATGTGTATTTGCATCAAGAGCATTGATTTACATATTTTATAAAATACATTAAAATCATGTTATACATGAAAGGCAAAGGGTTTTGATTTTAAAACAAAATTTATTGATAAAAGTACAAGATATTAATAGGAGAACTGGTAATGGTCCGACTAATATCATATGGTTTTGATAAAAGGGTATTGATAAGAGAATTGATGATGGCTCTACTAATACCATATGGTTTTATAAAGAATGTTAATAAGGAAATCGATAATGGCCCTACTAATACGATGGTTTTGACAAAGGGTATTAGTAGTAAAATCAATAATGGTCTTACTAATATCATATGGTTTTTATGAAAGGTATTAGTAGGAAAATCAATAATGACCCTACTAATACCATATGGTTTTATAAAAAAAAGTTAGTGGGAGAATCGGTAATGGCCTTACCAACACCACACAATTTATGACATAGTTTGGTGAAAGCATTGTTTTACTTGCCATTGAGGAAAATAAATTTACAAGCACCATGAAAGTTCACAAAATGTCATGTATAATCATGCTTTTGGCATTAGCTCTCATTTATGTCTTGTGATTTAGGTACCGATGCAAATATTGAGGTTATTGATGCTGCTTACGGTAACAAATGACTCGATGTGCTTGCCTTAAGTGTCCTTAAAGAAACGAAGAATGAATTATGTTTAATTGAATGAATATAAGTTTATGTATGAATGCTTTTATGAATATTAATTGTAAGAATGTTAAATTTTCAAATGTTGAAAATTTATTTTTTATGACTTGAGTATGGAAAATAAGTTAAAGTTATTTATGAATATTGAACGATAATGGTATTTTTAGAATTTAATGACAAAGCTGTGGTAATAGTGTTGAAATCGATTATGGATGAAATTTTTTATGAAATATTTCCTCTATGTTAATGAGATGATCATGTGATCATATTATTAATGATAGATTTTAGTTGATATATATGTTTAATGATGAATAAGATTTTATTAGAAACATGATTTTTAAAAAAAAAAAACTCACACCCAAGACTCCTTGCGGATCTAGTCTACTAGGATTTGAACCCATGACCTCTTATTACAAGAGACCACTACCACTGGACTACAAGTTCTTTTGTTTAGAAATAGGATTTAAGAATAATCAAATGATACAGATTTTATTAATGATCTATCCCACAGTGACCCTTCAAATAAGGCGTCTTGCGCGTTACACAAAGTGGTTGTGCAACTAGCCATTCCATTTCCCAATTTCTAGCACTTGTGTTGAGCCTTACATCGTCCGAATGGAATCTTTGTCGTTTGTGTTCGGAGAAATGGGGAGAAAAAGGAACAAGCACATGCAACATGCTACATTGTCTAATACATTTTGATAAAGAAAATTCTATTGCTTCTATTGAACGCTAAATCAGTGAAATTATTCATTTTAGATCAATCGTCTTTCAAAAGGAACGTACAATCGTATGATAATTGCACTCTATGTACATGAATTTTTAATACTTTTTCAGTCGAACACATAATTTTTTTTTTTTAATTCATCAATTTTTTTACAATAACCAACCAAATATTTTTCTACCTGACTTCTACCACTTACCCTATTATCTAATAAAATGCTCGTCCCTAGACTACTAAATTGTAAGTATTTACTATACCTAAAAAAGTAGAAAACAGCAAAATAATTTAAAAAGAGAAGTTGTCTTTAGCAATGAAAAAACAAAATCATTATTTAATATTATAGAACAAATGACACATCATCACATAATACAATAATTAATAAAAGTTGGACACAACAATTTTGACAACAAATACAGAACAGAGAATTTAATGTACACCGAGAGGACTTTTTTATCCTTGTCTTGACTCGCATGCCAAAGTTTACAATTCACTGATTTGGAGTAGGGATTGGCACCTACTTCCTTTATTGACTAATGAAATTCGTTCATTCATCAAAAAGGAAAAAGTCTAGTTACTTTGCAGGCCAGTCACGGAGGAAGATGAAAGTCTCCCAACTCTATAAGCAAGTGTTTTAAATCTTTGTTTAATTTGACACCAATCATGACAGCACAAACGCCATGAAAACTGCTAAAATTGAGAAGTTTGAGAATACAGACAGGTGGGGAAACTCTTTACATCATGCGAGCTTAGTATTACAAATAAGGATATGCAAAAATTATCATCCTGGGAAAGAAGAATGTTAAGACTAATATGCTGAAAAACAATTACTAGGATCCCGCCTTGCCCATGCTTCAAGCTCCATTTTGGAATCTTACTTCATATTCGCAGGTTGGCTGCACACAAGTATAAATTCTTTTAAGAAAATGGAGAACCAATAAGGGCATGAGGACAAAAATGAAAAGACAACACACTGAAGCTCCGAAGGGTTTCCTACTCTGAAGAAGTGAACTTCCTCATGAGTTAAAAAGAGTATCAGTTAAGCATTTCACTCTTCTTCCAAGTAGAAGAAGAAAAACATACTGCTGCAAACCAAAAATTATAGGGGCAAGAGGACAAAAATGAAAAGCCAACACAGTTGCTTTGATTGCTCTGTAATTTCTCTCATCACAGCCCACAATGACGTTATTCCTGAGGAAAGAAAACCACTTCACACTCAGAAGAAAAGGAACTTCCTTAAAACTTAATGGAACAGTTTAGAATTCCATTTTTCTTTCATTGTTCCCTGTAAAGCAACCTTGGGCATGCTCAGCAAATCTGCTCTTGGTATGGAAATGTGTAAGCCAAGGTCAACAACAAGTTGAAAATAAAATTTGAGCAGCCATGTTGAAAAGACTTCTTAGTCAGTCCAAAAGTTGAACCTTACAGAATCTGCAGATAAAATCTCTCTACCAGTACAAGCTAGAACTGGGACAACAGAAGTTCTACTCAAAATAGGTTTTTCAACACTCCCCACCCTGCGCTGTTGTCCTAATGAATATGGTGTATTTTCGAAATTTTTAACTTTGATTTAACGATCACTAGAACACAGATGATCAGGAAAATTGTGCAAAGTTGAAAATTGTTACCATGAAAACTGCTAAAATTGACCTTCGTGCAAACCATCTCATATGCATTGCACGCTGAGCTCTTGCTGCTGCTTCCATGCTGTCGAACCGTAGATACACACAACCAGCACTATTCCTACAGGGAAAAAACTGTTTAGAGGAAATGTACTGCTATCTTAACTCAAACCAGCACCCCTGTAGTCACAAGCCTAAAACTTTTAGCATTGCACCAAGCCATGGCTGTTACAAGTGGCATCAGCTTTTGAAATGGCAAATACAAGTATAAATGTACATAAGGATATTGCAGACCAACCGTGCAATAAAAGGGTTAATAAATCAGGTACATGTGGACAGCACAATTGGTCAGATCATTGTTCATTAAACTCACTCGGTGTGACTTTGAATAAGCATTACACTCTACTTGTAGTGCACTGCGATTAGATGAGAGAGGAAGGAAGAGAGAGAGAGAGAGACGAAGTATGTACAATATCTCAACTACAGTTCCATGTCACCCAAAGTTTGACAGGAAGCTGAGAGTGATCCGGAGTAAGACGATAATCATTCAACGATTATATTAGCAGCCTAATATAGGCACCAAAACCCTAAAACAAAGTAGAAATAGAACATGGTTCTAAACAATGGAACTCCTAATTGACTCTAGTCTGCTAGATGTCATAGTAACCTAAAATGAAAGGAGTATTTATGAATAAGAAAAAAAAGCAATAAAATAAAATATCTAATTTTCCTAAAACAGATGTTGAAAATCTTCCATTCATTCTCCATCAGAGAACAAAGAAAAAAAGATATAGATAAGTGCAAAGAGCTATTTACTTACTTGTCGACACAAATATGTTCCACTCGACCGTACTTTGAACATTCTTCTTCTACATCCTCTTTAATATCCAAATCAAAATCTGGTTCTGTCTGCATCATTTTTATGACAATCAATACTTCTGCTCAATGGATAACTGAAAAAAAAAAATAACAGAAAAAAACAAACCTCAGTTGCTGGATCAAACATATTCTTTAACAATAAACACTCGCTGGGCTGCCCAATACCATAGGTGGGATAGGGTAAGGCTGGTGCTGAAACTGCAGCTGCTCCAATAGCAGTCTGCCCATTTATAGGCAAGCTAATGGCTTGTTGATTTGGAGCCGATCCATTTAGCAAAGGTACTCCAAGAGAGCCTGCAATACTGGAAACAGGACTAGATTTAAGGTTATGGAATTGATATTTAAATTAGAAAAAAAAAAAAAAAGGGAAGATGAACAAACCCTGTGGCAATACCAGTGCGATCCAGCTTCTGCATAAGCAATGCTCTTGATTGAGCATTCAAGGCCTGAATGGGGAAGTGAATTTATTACATCAGATGGATTTTTGAGAAACTAAAAGTGCAAGAAAAAAATATGTACAACTATCGACTCCTGCCGAAGCAAGTTAGTCCTCGTACCCTCAAACAATAATATCAAGAACTTTGACCTCAGCAAAACAATAAATAAATCATCAAACTTTGTTGCTGGAGAAATCAAATTTCCAGCATGCAATATTTTCAAATTGGCAGCTGCATATTCATTAACCTTGGTGTCTTAAAATCATAGTAGAAACTAGAGTCTCTAGTTACTGTTATGTGTTCTCGTTCTGTCAATTCAGAAGTTATTAACTTTTCTACACAGTTCATTTGACAGTCTTGAATGGGAGAAAAATAGTAAATAAAAGCAGAAACTCAGATTACAAATTATCTCAAATCCTTGTGCATATAATGAGACTGCTAGCATGATGTAAATCATACTCTCATCTGCATTCACAATTGCAGTGTCGAAGGTTGTCAGCCTGTTGCCAGTGTTACATAACAATCATGGCCACAGGGGACATGGATTTTTAACCAATATCTAGCAAGTCCCTCTGATCTGCAAATTTTAAAAAATTTCACCCTCAAGTAACAAAACTTACACTTTGAAGTTTAAAATCAATGGACATCATTGTGTTCAAGAAAAATCCATACCTAATTACATGTTCAAATTTTTGCATGACCCCTGGCCAATAAATGCATTGATGACAAGGACTCAAGATAATCTAACATTCATGCGAAAATATTAGCAGCAAAGTTACCAATAAGTTAATTCCATTAAAAAAAGAGAACATGTAGATCCGTGAAAACCTATCAATCCCAGATTCCATAGTTGTGAAATATAATATAAATACATATAGTAAAAGATTACAATAATGGTGATCATTAGGAAGATCAAGATAAAAAAGGAAAACAATTAAATTCTTTTAGATTTTTTTTATTGCAAGGGTCAACCCAATGAGCATCACATTCATTAAGTAGCAGTAACAAACATTAAGATGTGAACTGTTAACCTCAATGTTTACAAGATAACAGGATTGTAAAACAGTAAGGTAAGTTTAACAGTCTGTCTCAACATCCACCAGTCATAACAGATACCAAATCTGAGTCATCTCAATGATAGTACATAACTAACTGTACAGAAATACAACTGCTGTTTCCCATATATTGTACACATCTTCAGTAACTGGGAAAAAAAAAACACACGGATAGAAAAAGCCACATCTCCTCAGTTCAACAAAAAAAGTTTTAGATTAATCACCTTCCTAATTGTATCATGTTGTTCCAGCTCTAGACATAACAGCGAAGAGTATCACAAGAGAAAAATAGTCGATTACTTCTTAACAATAATGCTCAGGAACAAAAGCCAATTAACAAAGAGCAACCAGCCATGATTTAAAACATTAAAAACCTATATAAAGTTTCCACAAGTCCATTAGTAAAACAAACAGCACATCAGGTCTTTTGCCCTTTTGCCTATTCCCTTCTTTCACAGAACCTTATTTCTCCTACTCCCCCCCCCCCCCCACCACTTCTTTTCTTTTAATTCCTTGTAGAAAATTATTCTTGACAACGTAATTTTACTCTATAATTTTCATATGCATATTTTTTTGTAAATTGTTTGATTTATAAGATTCTTTTGAACTCAAAAAAATTAATGTACATTGTTATTCTTGACAACTTTATAGTGGATTATGAAAACTAAAAATCAAGCCAAAGGCTCTGCCACTGATCATGCAAGTTCACTCATACAATAATCAGCAACATTTAACTCACCAATCCACCCCCATCATCATCATCGAAGTCCGCAGATTTTGCTCCACTGTCCTGCTGTCCACCATGTTCTGTAACAGATGATACCTGTATGTACACAAACAATTCATCACAGACCCTCCCTCAAGGAATAAAAATAGCATTGTCAATTGTCATTTACAGTTAAAGCAGTGCAGACAAATAGTTAAATGACAACAATGTGCACTGTTGTATATGCAACATATGAACAGCCACCTGGTCTGAGCTACAAAAGCTTACACATACCTTAATGGTTCGACCTGCAATCTCCAATTTTCCATTCAAAGCACTTTGTGCAGCCTTTGCATTGTCAAGTTGAGTAAACTGTAGAAGAGTGAATGAATTAATAAATCAACAAATGCGGATGATTAAACAGTACAAAATATCTTGCAATCAACAAGAAGTTATCACCGACTTGAACAAATCCGAAACCTTTGCATTGTCCTGTCTCAAGATCAAGAGGCAGTTGTACAAGCTCCACAGTCCCAAACGGTTCGAAAAGCTGAGCAGTACACAGAAGAAATATAAGACACTATGTTCAGTAACTGGATCAAAGATGTGAAAGAAACATTATGAAGGTTTTAGTAATTGGAAGTACAAGTGAAGGAAACTAGCTCGTCTAAAAATTACAAAAATAAAAAATCCTATCTGTTTCCACGAACCTTATGAGGCATAATACGAAACATGTATGCTTCAAAAAAATAAAAACCATAAAAGCTAAGGGTGTCATTGATTGTTGATTTGACATCAAGGACCAATAACAAGTAACACTTCCTTCAGCAGCATCAAATATTAAGGCAAAAATATCCTTCAAATTAATTTTCCCTTAAATTGTCTAGGTTGGAATGGTGATTTTTCTGATTTATTGGCATAGACGCCTCTGTACATAATACTTCTGTTATTTGCAGCTTATCCTCGTTAAGAAATAAAAATGACTATTGTCTGCCTTAATGAATGATAAACCAAATAATGAACTCTCAAATCCTGTTACCTGTCTAAGCTGCATTTCTGTCATGTTAAAATGCAAATTCCCAACATATAGTTTTCTGTCAACTGATCCAAATGGTCCAGCAACACCAACTGTGCTCCCACCAGAAGCACTAGACTGGACAAGATTCTTTTCAGCCTCAGAAGGCTTAACCATTACAAGTTGTCCAAAAAGTAGTTGACCTGAAAGAGCTATTGCAATCGGCACAGACATTGCATCATAGAATTCAACGTACCTGCAGTTATGCCAGTGCAGCAAATTAACTAGTTGGAACATAAGAGACAGAAGCAGAAATCAAATTTACGAAGCTTATAGCAAAGAGATGAGGCAAACAAAAACTGTGCAAGAAAAAAAAACTGTGCACAGAGAGATCAAGCTGAATCTGATGTTCTATGTAAGAATATGTTAGCTCATCAGAATAAGCTTAGGAAACCAGAACAAATTTTACATATCAGAAGGATCAAGGAGAGAGGAAATAACTTAGAACCCCAAAAAAAAAAAAAAAAAAAAAAAAAGGTTAGCTGCAGTCCCTACTTAGATGTGTGTTTGTGTAGGAAATCCCTGAATTCACAAACAAAGAGCCTTACTCAATGCTTAAACTAATTTATGATTTAATACATAAACAAATTAGATGGTTTTAAAAAACCAAGTTTCCTTTTTAGCCTTAGTTCTCAAGAAAAATGGCTGCCAAAACCAAACAATCTTGATGAAAGGATCAACATTAAGCCAGAATGGGAACACCAATACCGAACTCCAGGACTAATTATCCATGCCTCAGAATCAGCTCTCTTTACTTAGAAAATACTCAGCAGAAGAAAATGGAAAAGTAAAACAAAATTAGGTTTATGTCATCTACCTTGAGTGTGCTGCATGAATTGATTAAACATGAGTGCAAGGTATTCCCATCATCCCTCATCATTATCGCATTGCTAGTGCATTTAAGAATACAGTTAAACTTGATTCTTGAAATCAATATGCTAACAGTTACTTTAGAAGAATACATGTGCACAAGTATATTGTTTAAACATAAAGCCACATACCCAACTCCTTTTGACCGCCTTGAATTTCTGTCCATTATCAGCCGAACATCCCTTACCTGAAAATCAAGGAAAACGAAATTCAAATCAAATTGTAAAATAAAGCGAATTTGCAGTGTGCAAAGAAATTTCAGAAATTTAAACTACATATCAAAAACAGGAGGCGTTCGCATTACAAGGATTAGTCTCATCCTGTACACTACTGTTTTATCCTACAAGGTAATATAGTCGTTGGGATTGGGCTTAATAGAGAAAGCATGGTAGCTAAGGAAAAAGGGGTATGATAACTGAGGAAGAAGTGTTGGAATGAAAGAGGAAGAAGTTGACAAGGAGTGCTGAATCCATTTGGAATTACGAATCACTTGCAGAAGACCTCAAGATGGCATCTAGAGCATCTTGTTTGAATTTCCAAAAATAGAATAGCATAAGGGGATGACACTGCTCCTTAATACCAAGTAAATCGCTCAATGCATGTGCATATTTTAACTCATCCCGCATATCTAAAATGAGGGCAAAAACCCTAAATTTATCCCTAGTTAATTATTGCCCCTGTGTTTTCAATTTGGTCAATCAACCTTTATGTTTTCTTAATTCACTCAACTACCCCTTGTGTTCTCTAAAGCTATTTCACTAACTTAATAATTGATTTCTATCAACTCTCAATGTTAACTTTGTATGCTAATTATGTAATCTTATTTATATTTTCATTTATGAGAATGACTATCTATATTTATGTAGGATTTATATCACTAAATAAAAGGTAAATAAGTCAATATATCCTTTTAATAGCTTGAGCCTCCAATCGGTCCCTACATTTCTAATTACATCTATTATGTTCTTGAATATTGTTTGTCTCCAATTTGTCCTTCCAGTCAATTTTCCGACCATAGATAAAGTTTTTTGACGAAAATGCTCTTGGTTGAAAAAAACATAAATAAAAATACTTAGGCTCCGTTTGTTTGGCTGAAAACAACTTCCAATAAGAAAAGCAATTCTGGAGAAGTTATTTTCCAGTAAATTGTTTTTCAAAAAAATATTTTCTGGTGTTTGAAAATTACATGAAAAAACTACTAAAAATATATATTCCAGCATTTGATACAAAAAACTGAAATACAAAAATAGGACTTGATTATTACATCAATGACTTTTGAGAGAACTTCAACAATACATATTCAGAATTTCACAAAATAAAATACATTTAGAAAAATTTAACAAATTTTTATAAAAACTAACTTTAAAATTTAAATTCAAAAAATAAAATATATATTTTTAATCATCAAACCAATTTATCAAAACTAATTTGGATAAAATCAAGTCAATATTCAAATTTAATAAAAAAAATTTCTAAGTAATCCTAGCACTCGTTATTTTGTTAAATCAATTAAGAATTCTTTTTAATAAAAAATTGAACTGATAATTTAATCTAAAAATAGTTTTACAAATTATTAGTTATCATTTATAGATAATTATTCATTTGATTTCAAAATATTAATGTTAGAATAATTTGTAACTAATTATTGACTACAATTACCACAAAATTTTACAAGCTGATTAAAATTAATCACAAATTATTGATTTAGTTACAAATAAATAGCTTTAGGAAAATAATGTATTTATTAATGAATTAATTAGTTTCAAAGTTTTCACAAATGATTGCAGTCTTATAATAATCATTTCGAATAGTTTAAGTATAGTTTAGGCGAGTGTTTGAGATAATGATAAAAAAAATAAAGATAAACTATTGAAATATTTATTATAAAAATAATTTTAATATGTAAAAATGATTTTTAAAAATATTTAATGTATTTATAAATCGAAAAATCAAAAGTTAGTAGAAATTGAGAAAAAATTAATTAAACAATTAACAATAATTGATAAGAAATAATTAAAAATTAATTTGACATATTTTAAATAAAAAGAAGGCATAAAAAATTGTTAAAATATATTAAGAGAGAGGAAAGTAACGCAAAAGCGAGATAGCTCATGAGAGAGAAAAAACGTCTCTTTTTTTAACTTGAAAAACACTTTCCCAAATATAATCTATCATTTTCCGTTGACTAGAAATGATTTTCCATTCACTTTCTTATTAAACGCGAAACAAATATCAAAAAATGAGAAAAACAAGTTCCTAGAACTTATTTTCCCCCAAACAAACGCAACCTTAAAATCACAAGAGTTGCATGTTCTATTTTTGAAGTCTTTAAATTTTTTTTTTTTTTTTTTTTGGCATTTTAGTTGGCATGACATTTAGGTCAAAAAAATTGCCCATGGTTAGAAAAATTATTCGAAATGACAAATTGAAGACTTAAACATCATTCAAAGACATAATATATGCAATTATATACACAAGAATAGAGTGAAGACATAGTCTATTATATAAGAACACATAGAGCTATTTATCCCTAAATAAATTATCTTCGAAGATATATTAAAATTGATTTTTAATAAAAACCATTTTTCTTTTTCTGATTTTTTATTAAAACTTCCATGATTCAACCATTTTTCTTTTTTACCAGTTTAGCTTAGTTTTGTTTCAAAATTGATTTTTGCCAACTTTATTAGAAAGATTGAATCATTCTCTAAGAACTTCAAGGAAGTCGCCTTTTTTTTATTATTTTAAGTGTATTTAACGTTTAACATGTATATTTGACGTAGGAAAAAAAAAAAAAAAGGGCAAAGGAGAGCTTAAGTTAGCTAACACATCTAAAGGTTGGCTGTTGGGCAACCAAATAAGAGAACAAACCTCTTATAAAATTATGAAAACATCAAACGTAGATATTATTATAGCAATAGTACCCCTTAAATACTAGTTAAAACCCTAGATCTTTGTAGGAAAAGCATTCCTAGTCTTAGGCCACCAGTGAAACTACTTAGCCTACAATGAAGACTCTCCAACCCCTTTTCTTTCTTCACTTTAGGTGTATAACAATTCTAGATATTAACTTAAGTTCCTCCATGTTAAATTTCACATAAGAAACACATCAATTGGCAACTTATTTCACTTTCATTGACTTCTATAGTAATGAATAACAAACCTCAAAGTTGCTTCATCAACATGTGCTGTATCCATATAATCCTTGAACAAATATACCTTTCTGATAATAGCCTAAATAAACAATTTTCTTTTACCGAGCAACTTCCATGTTCTCTTTGCACTCAACCTTTAGCTTGTCAAAGACAAGACTATTGATGACATCATCACTATCAATGTTGTTACTTTAAGTACTGTACTTAGCATCATAAATTGAAGGAGAATCCCAATCCACATCTATCTCATCATAGAATGGTGAAGAAATCTTATCTGTAACTTTTTGCTCAACAAATAGTGCTTACTGCTCCTCAAATCTCTTTCTCCAGTGAAGTGCAGTGTTTTTTCCCTCTTCCAATCCACCTCACAATGTGGTTTATGCCTGCAGCATCATGAAAAGAGTCTTGATCCTTATGACTACCTTCCAACCAATATGTCTAAAGGGTTGTGGTCACCTTCCAAAGTCTCTTTTAGAGACTCCACTCTAATTTCAAGCAGAGTTAATACCTCTTGCTTGACTTGGTTTAGTATCCTTCGCAACCCAAAACATCTCTTGGTATGGATTGAACCTAGGAACTCTCGCTCACATGCCTACCATCACCAAAATCAGGATCAATTTTGGGTTCTGATACCAGCTGAAGTATGAACAAAAGGCAATAGATAGCTACAGGTGGTTAAAACAGCCAATGGTTGGTTGTTTAGGCTGAACTGCCAGAAAATAGAAGAAACCTCTCATTAAATTATCAAAAGTTATATATTATTACTGTAGTAGCAGATTTTAAAAACTAGTTAAAACCCTAGATCCTTGTAGGAAAGGATTCCTAGTCTTAGTCCACAAGCAAAACTACTTAGCCTATAAAGGAAATTCTTTAAAAAGGCATCCTAATCACATGACCTTAGATTAATATCATAAATATTCTAAGAAAGCTCCTGCATCAATAAGTCACTCCTAGCATGATCTATCCATTCTTAATATATTTTCTAATTTCTATGGTGATATAGAACCTACAAGAACATAAAATGTCATCTCATGAATGAAAAGTCTTTAATAATATCACATCCGCATTCATAGTTAAAACCAATACTTCAAGGAAGTTAGCCATAATTGGACAAGTTTAAAAAAGAGTTAATTGAAAAATTCGAAATGAATAATTGACACAAACACAAAGGTAAATTCAGAGGTTTTGCCCCAAAATGAGACGCAAGAAAGTCATTATATTACTTGTAACAGAGGCAGAACAAAACAAAGGCATTTCAATAACATATAGTCATATTCTTCTCAGCAGTTTCTCAAAAAACAAGCATACATACAGGAAGGGGAAAAAAAGGTTCACAACAAAACTTGGAAAGACCACAACCCAGTTAGATACAAAGTTTATAAAATCCAAAAATATACAACACTTCTTGCGTAATACATGTAAAAAAAAAAAAAAAATGCCACTAACCTTCCCTGCTTTCGAGAAGAATTCATACACATCTCTCTCCGTCGCCTTCAAAGGCATCTATCATAAAAAAATCCATAGCAATACAGCAACATCAATGTGAGAAAACAATGGAACCACAAAATATCTATGATTCCATGACTGATAATTATTTAAAAATGGAAAAAACAGCAGTACAAATCATCTACCTGGTAAGCAAAAACAGTTCTTTGGTCCCTTTCTGGGTCAACTTCAGGCTCCACCACTTCTTTCTTTTCTATAAATCTCCTGCCACCAAAAAACTTTCAAAGTTTCAATTTTTTATTAAAAAAATGAAAATTCACGAGATTAATCAGAAGGCATAGACATTCTTATCACTGAAAATAACAGTATTATGGTGTCGGAAAAATTTACACATCTAGCCAACTGCATGCTAGTTTCCATGGAGAGCTAGCAATAATAACACACCACCATGTCAGCCTTTTTGCCATATTATTTCTAACAAGGATAGTTAATTGTATATCAACTTTCTTTCAAGTCAGCAAATTATACATCTTACTCTCTTTTAAGGTTCACAATACATATTTAGATAATCACAACAATATCATTCAACACATAGCAACAACCAATCTCAATAATAAAGGCAGCGTGCAAAATCAAACAAAACTCAGCTCTTATTTCATTTGATAAAATGTTTCAAGTTCAATTGACACCCCTTTCACATGGAATGCAATTGAGGAAGAAAAGAAATCTCACGAAAATAAAAGAAATCTCATGAAAATACTTTAAGAAACAGCCTCAAGAAAGTATCCGGCCTACAATAACATCAATTAAAAATCCACCTAGTTAGAAAGTATTTGCTTCACCCATTAAACTTCAAAATTCAGTTCCTAAAGGACAATAACAATAATATACGCTATGAATAAATGGAGGTTTTAGCGGGGATTATGCTTAAATCCACATATATAATGAGTTGACTTCGCCATAAAAAAACAATGATTACAAATAACAGCATTGAATTACATGTTTTAGGACTACAAAAGAAAAGAAAAGGAAAGGAATCATCACCTGCTTTCTCTTGTATCAATCTCTCTCTCTCTTTCCCTCTCGCGAGAATCGCTTTCATACCTCCTCGACCTACTCCTGCTTCGCTCTCTCCTGTCCCTCACCTCCTCTCTCTCCATCTCCCTCTCTCTCCTTTCCCTCCTCTCTCTATCTTTCTCTTTCTCTCTCCTCTCTCTCTCCTTCTCTTTCTCCCTCCGACTACTCTCTCTGTCTCTATCCTTCTCTCTACTACTTCTATCTCTATCTGAATCTCGGTGTTTCCGGTGGCGATCGCGACCGTTCTCGTCCTCAGCTTTCGATTTCTTTACCTTTCTGTCCTCATCGTTGTCGATATCTTCATCATCGACCTCTCGCTTCCTGTAACTTCTCTCGATTCCATCTCTCTTTTTGCTGTTGTTCTTCTTCCTCGAATCCTCCCGATCTTCCGCTTCCTCTACGGTCTTCTCCAGATACTCGATCTCGTCGAATTCCATTGATTGGCTTTGCTGTTAGGGTTTTGTCGAAGAGACAATGAAGGCTTTTGCTTTCGCGGGGTCAAATTGGCTTAAACCATATATCTCGATAATAAAAATAAATATTAAAATATTATCAAGATATGGTCGTCGAAGCCAATTTGACCCCCAGCGAAAGCAAAAGCCCTCACTGTTTCTTCCATAATGTATATATATATATATATATTCATCCTTTAGTTTCTAAAAATGAATTAATTAATTCTTTTTATTTGAAAATTTAATTATTTAATTTTTATATTTTTAAATTTATTTATAAATTAATCATTTCTTCCTTTTTGGTTTTTTACAACTTTTTTTATTATTTACTTTAGAAATAAAAAATGTATAAATATAAAAAAATTAATAAAAAAAGATAACAATTTATAAAATAAAATCATATTAAATTAAACATAGTCAAATTGATTAAAGAATTAAATAATTAGCTTTAAAAAAATTAATTTATTTACTTTAAAACAACAAAAAAAAATGATAATTTACTCCTTGATTAATGATAAAGCAGGACTTGACTGTTATTTTTCTAAAGTTTTAGGTTTTACATTGAAATTACTATTAGTTTAGTTAACGGATTCTTAAAATAAATTATATTTAAGTCTCTTTTTTAACATAATAATCAGTCGGTTTTTTTTATTCCAAGAATTATATACTTCATCTCTACACGAACATTAGGCAGCCTTTAGGGGTGAGTAAGCAATCCGTTCTAAATCCACATATTAAAATTAATAAATACTTATAAAAAAAAAAACTTAGTGGTGTTTTATTGTTTCTGTAAAGAGTGCGTAAAAAATCAACATTGCTTTAAGGAGAGGAACATCTTTTTAGCCCATTTTGGACAAAACAATTTGTTTTGATAAATGATTTTTTGTTATAACCTTATCCATTCATTCATGGATGATCCTAAGATCCAATAGTGTTTCAACTAGTTAGTTGCCCGTGTTACGCAGCGACGGGTTGAACGGAACAAAATTGTTTCAAAATTGTATAATTTTTTCATTAAATTTTTTATCTAATTAATTTTTTTTATGTTTTTCATAAATTTTCTACCTAAGAAAATATAATTTATTCTTCTTGATGCATTGATTTTTACATAAAAATATATGATAATTTCAATTGGAATATGAATCAAGAATAAAAAAATTACTTTAAAAATATATTTTTCATAAAAATATATTCAAAAAATAAAGTTACAATTAACATATAAATTTTTTTAAAAATTAATTAATAAAAAAATTTATAATTATTTAGTGTCGATGAGAAGATTATTTTTTAAAAGTATATATATATATACAACACACACACACACAAAATAATCTATAATGTTATCATTAAAAAAACTATATTTGAATCATTTGTTGGATCCTTTAAAAAATTATTTTAATTCTTTTATTTCAAATGAGCTTGTTCCGTAATGTTAAAAAAAATATTCATAACGAATAATTAGAGTTATGTGTGAAAATATATAATTAATTTTTAATAAAATCAATTATTCAATAATTTTTTATACAATTTAACCATATCTAGTAGATTGAGATAAATTATCTTAAATATATTTTTAACCTTATATATATATATATATCGTTTAAAAATTTTAAGAATTTATGATGTATATTACATCAAATTATTTTTTAGAAAAGAAAAAAAACCTGTTTTTAAATTTTATTCTAAAATTCAAATTTAGAGAAAAATTAATCATATTTGTTAGTAAATTTTATATAAAAAATAGTAATTGGATGAAAAATTTTATGAAATAAAAAAAAATTGGAAAAAGAAGATGATTACTACCGACGATTGTGGTGATGGTGTCTTCTTTGTTCAATTTTAGCTCGCGGTGGATATCTATCTATGAGTTGTTGATGCTATAGAGTACCTTTGACTGACATTGCCAGCAAATAAATTCAGCAAGTTCCTTTGCTTTTAAGTGCAAATGTCTTCTTAAATTTCAGTATCCTAAATCTGAGTTCTTACGTTTCACGATAGGATCAGTTTCCCCAATTCTTTTATTTAATGAAACTTTTAGGATTCAATAATCGCATTGAATGTCATTTATAAATGTGGAAGATGAATTTATTGCCTTGACTTTCTTTGGAAATGTGCTATTGGAGCAACAAGCTCAACTATATTGGGTAGCAAATGCAAAAGATAATATGACTTCCCTCTCTCCCTCCCTCATCTACGTTAGCGACCTAGAGAGCTTACCTCCAGTATAATGTAGTTTTTATATTACAAACCCAAAAGTTAAAATGAAAGAATGACCAGCTCTTTTGCTTTCTATTATGAAGAACTCAAGGCTTTTGACTTTAGTGTTCGGTGCTGCAAAATTGATGGAACCTCACCACTGGCAACTTTGGCATTCTAATTGGCACCAAAGTTAGCATCTAAACAACCACTACCACATCTAAGCTACTTTAAAAAACAAACAAATGATTGCAAAGTAAATTCTTAAAAACAATAACAATGTGCAACTCACCTACAAGCCTTTCTAAAGCCAAGAATAATTGCTCTGGGTCTTTCAGGCTATCAACATCCAAAGTTGGTTCCATATTCACAGTTAAGTGCAATGACTTGAAGAAACTATTTATTGTGAAAGCATGCAACTTATAGTGAAAGTTTCACACTTTGATTCATTGTTAAGCACAACATCAATCCTATTAATCCTTGCAACAAAAAGAGTGCAGATCTCATTGTCCAAATCAAAATCAACCACATTCAAACCCTATAAAAATTTACCTATCTGTTTAATAAAAGAAAGAAGCAATCGGCATATAACAGTAAAAAATGAAGTCCACTTTAGGATAATTGAACAAATAAGAGAAGAACATAATCATCGTAAATCATTGCTGAGGGATTGATTGTATAAATGATTACTACAATCAATCTATAAACAGGCTTCTTCAGCCACCATTGGAAGAACAAGCTTCTGCTTAAAAGATGAATTTGCTTCTTTTCACCAGGATTCAACCTATTTATGAACAATCTTACTAACCAAATAAACATGCATCATCCCGAATTTAAAATGATACCCAGATATTATGCAATCAACATCAGTAGATGTAAATTAAAATATTTCTTTCTTTTTTATGAGATGCAATGTATTCCAATTCTAGTACATTAGTTGGTATGCACAACCTAACCACACTGTAGAATAGAACAATAACCAGAACCATTTACCAGGTGCATGATCACATAAATCCAGTGTAAATATATCCATTGAAGTAATAAAGGCTACCGATAAATCATATACTGATGCATGTTTCAATGAACTCCTTTTGTTCTTTTATTAACCAAAACATTAAAAAGGGAGAGGGGATACCCCTAAATTTTATCCTTTTTTCCCAAAAAATCAGGTAAAACAAAACCAAGAAAAAGGAAATCAAACATCTCGCTGCTTGCTGCCACCCCCACGTCGTCCGTCTCAACCGAGCACGCTGCCCCCCTAATCGTCCTCCCTAACAAACCTAGCCAAGCCAACACCCCCTCTTAGTGTCCTTTCTGACAAACCCAGTAGCCACCAAACCCAACTGAACCTAGCCACGTCGTCCCTTACCTCCACAGACCCTTTAGCTGCCCCCATCGCCATCCTCTTCACAAACCCAACTGAGTGCGCTGCCTCCCTCGCCTTCTTCTCTCACAAACATAGCCGAGTCAACACCCCTCCACCGCCTTCTCTCATGAATCTAGTAGCCACCAAACCCATCTGAACTCATCCACGCCATCCCTTTCATTCACAGACCCATCGGTCGCCCCCTTCGCCTTCTTCTCTTAGAAACCAAGCAAAGCCAACACCCTCTCACACTCCTCTCTCACAAACCCAGCCGAGCCAATACCCACCCTCGCCTTCTTCTCTCACGAACCCAGCAGCCACCAAACCCATCTGAACCAGCGACATCATCCCTTATACAAAAAAATCTTCCATCACTTTTTCAATATGATAATAGAGATAAAAAAAAATTCAGAGAAACAGAAGCCACGGAGAATTGAAAACAAAATCATGTAGAAATCTATGAATTTTTTTAAAGAAATGCAAAACTAACCCGACATTTTCTGATCTTTCTTCAATTATGGGAGAGAGAGAGAGGGGGTGCTGAAGAAAGAGGATGTATGGGAAGAAATGATGATGGAGTTAGGAAATTACAAAAAATAGTGTGGAAATGCAAAGATAACAAAAAGAAAGGGGAGGGCAAAAACGTAATGACAGGGTCATCTAGTGGCATAGAAAGTAAATAATAGATCAATATAAGGGCGTAAAAAAAGGGCTTATGAGGACCAAAAATCGAAAGGAAGAAAATCAAAGGACCAATGACGGTATTTACAGGGACAAAAACTACATGCGTGCGAAATATTTAAATCCCTTCCAAAACAGAAATTGAACACCTAAAGGCCAAGAGTGTGACAGCAAAAAAGAACAAGAAGATCGAACGGTGCAAAGACAAATAATGGATCAGCACAGTGCGATTGAGTGTTGATCCACAGTGCGACTGAGTGAGGGTAAACAGCTTCACCCCCACGTCTTTTAGAGTGTTTTGTAATGTTCATTGGAATATCACGCTTTAAACCACCTTTGTTTTAAAGAAAACGAGATCTTCTTAGCATGTTGGGTCAACATGACATCATCTTGAGAAAAAAAAATATATAGTGTTTTGTTATAATTTCAACTATCAATAGGTGACCTTAAGATCTAGCCGTTCATCAACTCTTTATGGTGGAAACAACGTTGTTTAGCCCAAAAGAAAGGTAAGTGATTTTTTCTAATCTTATTCATCTGTGAATAGCTCTAAGATCATGGCCATCCATTAACTTGTTTTTAGTCAAAACGACATCGTTTTAATAAAAAAAAAATTAAGAGATTTTTTATTGAGTAAATTATACATTAACCCCTCTAGCTTTTAAAAAAATGATTTAAATAATTCCTTTAACATCAATAATTAATTAAATAGTCTCTATATTTTTCAATTTATAACTCAATC